TCTTTCTTTCTTTCTTTCTTTCTTTCTTTCTTTCTTTCTTTCTTTCTCTCTTTCTCTCTTTCTCTCTTTCTCTCTCTCTCTCTCTCTCTCTTTCTTTCAGATTGCACTGCAAGTTCAAGGTCTAGATAAATTGTTTGAGGAATCAGTTAGCCAGTCTGACCAATCCGCTACCAAACAGAAGATCAAAGATACCCAAGACAAGGTATATTTCTATATTTATTCCTTTGAATATAAATGTTAGAGGGAATGTTAGATAAGATTATTCCAGGAGATTTATTAGGAAAGCTGCCTGCTAAAATCTTGCGTCTGGTCGCAAAATTCTTCACAGATTAATATTGTAACTTAAGATAATGTTAACCTTATTTGTGGGGTGAAATCTAAATACAGGTTGTTCTTAACTTACAACCACAATGGAGACAAGAATTCCTGTTGTTAAAGAGGACAGTTGTTATGTGAGTTATGCCCAGTTTTATGACCTTTTTGGTTGGGTTGTTAAATGTAGTTTAACACTGTAGTTGTTGAGTGAACCCAGTGGTCATAAAGCAAGTCCAGTTTCCCCTGCTGGCTTTCTTGTCAAAAGCCAGCTGGGAAGGCCACAAATAGCGATCACATAACTCTGGGATGTCATAAATATAAGTTTGTTGCCAAGTGCTCAAATCTAGATCACGTGACTGTTAGGATGTTACTATGGCTACAAGTATGAAAACTCCTGGTTGTAACTCCTTTTTTTTATTTTTTAGCAATGTTTTAACTTTGAACGGCCACTATATGAATGGTTGTAAGTCAAGCACTACCTGTAAATTAAACTGGTGGAATCATAGTATGTCAGAACTGGAAATATCTTTCTGTAAAGTGTAATGTTTGAAGGGGAAATGCAAATAACCATTACATTGTCTTTTTATTTACTTGAACTTTAATTACATGAACTGACTCAATACTAAATTGCTCTCACTGGCTTGACTTTAGCTTCCAGGATACCAAGAATTAACTGCCAGAGAGCCCTTCATTGGTGCATCAGTCAAATTTCTAGGAAACGATGTTATATATTTAACTTCTGAAGAAATGAAACCACAATGGAAGGTAAAGATGTCTAATACATTTTCACCATAAAATCCATATTGTTATCTCAGTCAGCTTAAAGCCCCTTGTCTCTTCACCCTGTTTTAGGCGGAAGGGTTAAGACCAGCTATGATCAAAGTGTGGATGACATGTTTGGAAATCCTTTTGAAAATGGTCAACACTCAATTCAGCCAATACCACATTGTAGATATGGGACAAGTTTTACCTACAGCTCCTGGTCTCCCATTCCAAATAACAGCTAATATTGTTGGGGGAGCAGATGTAACTTGGAAAGGTAAGGATGGAAATCACCGCAATTCAAAATAGCATGGGTAAATCATATATGATGGGGGAAATGGTCGATAATAATACAATTGAAAAATATTACCAATGCAGGTTATCAATCTGAAGCAAGTGAGATTTGTGTATGATTCTGATAAACACATGTCACTCAAAACCTGATAATATCATCTTACTTAAAATGTAGTATTACTATTGTATTACTATTTTTTATAACGGCAACAATTCAGATTTCTTTCTCTATGACACATCATTTATTAGCTTAAAAGTTTTCAAAGTAGGATATTATCATGGAGTCTTGCTTTACTCTTGTTTTGTTGTTCACAAAACAATCTCCTTATGACTATAACTTTGTTGCTTATCACTATTGTTGTATGTACATTGAGAGCTTACGCACCAGAAACAAATTCCTCATGTATCTAATCACCCTTGGCCAATAAAAAA